GTCAGTTATCAGACCACTGCCCATGCCCAATGCCTTTTTGGGTGAGATGCAACTCGGGTAGGTTCTATGGCAAACGATGCATTGGATGCAGCGTAACTATCCCAGTTGCTGTTGCTGCATCAGTGCTGCTCTTGCCACCGTACCAGCTATGAAGAAGCAGCAGAAAGGCAATGGCAGAGGAAAAAACTTTTCCTAAAATTGAGCCAGAAATGTGAGGTTAAAATACGTACTCAAGAAGGTTTGTATCAGCTTTGCTGTTGTTGAGCTTCAGCTTTTTTTGTATTTATAATGAAAGCTAGTCTTTGAACAGAAATATTTCTTCCCACTAAAAATATCTCATTGTGTGTTTTTTGTTTTCCCTAATTGAAAAAAAAAAACCCAAAATCCAAAATATTAAGAGCATAATTATGAGAAAAGCATTTCTAATGGAAATACTTATTAGAAAATATATTGTATTTACCATATATTTTACATCCCTGTATCTTAGGGGCCTTATGTCAGTGCCTACAGTAGGAGCCCAGAGTTCTGTTTCACCCAGACTCTTTCTGGCTCAGCCTAAAGCAAAGTTGCTCAAGCTTTTGATTTTTTCCACATGGTAAAGGCAGAAACTTCGTCTTTGTCCCATAGAAAAGGTTTTCTAATGCTGGATGGAAAGATGTTCTAACACTTTGAATGGATGCTATCCCCAATAAGATAAACCTTCTATCTAAAATATTTTCCAGCTCAGATTTTCCTCTGATGGAAAGATATCGAGTGATTCTTTCCATGCGTTTGGGTAGCAGGGTGGGAAATAATGTTGCTAGAAACTCTTTGGGATCTTGAAATACAAAGGCGTTATTATTTGGGTTGGGGTTTTTTTAATGTCTTTGGATGAAAAGCGTGGGTCAGAAAGAGCCTGCAAGGTTATATACATCAACACCTCACCGAGACATCAAGCATGTGGAATTCTATATTGCCGTGATTATGCTTTAAAGAATGTCCGAAAGAATTCTCTTTGGCTACCCAAACAAGTACACGTACATCAGGTAATCACAGGTCTTCAGAAAACAAACAAAAAAGTCCACCAAAAAACCCCTCCTTGGAGTTGGCCTATTTCCTGTAATTTTCTAACTAGCATAAAGTAGCCAAAATCTGCGGTCTAGACTGGTTTGTTCTGCAGATTTTTTTTTTTCTTGGGGATTTACAAACCACAGAGAGTTGGAATGGATCAGAATAAATATTTGCTTATGCACCTACTGATTAGAGCTTTCAAAGTCCCCAATCTTGTTACAACACACATGTGAGCATTAGCATTCACGTAGGTTAGGTAAATACAAGGGGTTTCCTCTCTACCGCCTCACCCCCCTCCTCAATTTCAGTTTAATGGAGACAATACTTTAAATGTGGTGTGTTTTTCTTTTGGTATCCCGCAGTGTTTTCTGCCTGGCAATTCTCTGAGAGACTGTTATTGTACCAGAGAGCGCATTTTTTAGAATCCTTTTTATCCCCCTCCCTTAATATCAAGCATATTATTACTCATCTTGGAGCGCTTCATCACTGCTGTTTCTGAGTCTCCAAGTATGATAGCAGCTGCAGCTAATAACATCAATTATACAACATTTAGGTTCCTGTTCTCCGATTTCGACTGGAGGAAGTTCTTTATTAGGACATGCCATATAATTAATTGCCTTTTTTCTACATGCAAACGTTATATAAAGCTTTAGCCTTGCTGTCTCTACGTGAGAACGGCAGTAAAAACATTCACTCACACGAGCTACAACCCCACTGGTTAGGGTGGTTTAGTGTGCAGGGGTAAAAATGGTTTAGTAAATGTGCATTAAAAAGGGTTTTGCTTGTCAGATCGCCCTACTTGTCTATATGTTTGTAAAGAGAGTGCGTTGAGGTGTTAGCCTGATCCAAACTTTCTAATGGTTGATGGTTTTCTTATTAAAACACAAACAAAACCCGATTAGGTATGGCAGCTATCTCCCTGGAGTCTTGCTAACACTGTCAGATCTATAGCATTACCATCCTGCAGTAACTTTAAAAAAGAAAAAAAGATTTTAAAAGACTTTTTAAAAAAAAAAAAAGGGCAAATTTTTTTGTAACCAATGTGCTTGCCACTGAGTCATAAACTAAAATCTGTGTCTGGGCAATTCAGCTGTTGACAACATTAAAAACACTTCAGGCACGACAAAAGATAAAAGATGTATTTTAAGACCAAAACTTGAAATCGGTTGTGGATATTTATTTAAATTGATCTCTCTCTCTATATTTATCTTTACTAAAAGTTGGAAGAGTCTTGATGTTTTTCTCCAAGGATGGCATGTGACCAGTCAAGGCAAGAGAGGAGGGCATTACTAAGAGAGAAGGAGCGGAAAAATAAAATCAGTGATGACAAGGCTGGATTGGGTGGGGCAGAGAAATGCTGGGATAGCCAAACAGCCAGGACATGAATCTCAAAGAGCGAAGATATAGAAGCCAAATGTCTAAAAATTAATTTGTGGGCAAGCGGCTTTGCTGAGAATTTTAACACCTTCTCTTTTGTTCATTTTAAAGTCTGTCTCCAGGAACCTGATAATTTGAGGAAAAGGGTCACGATGAACTGAAAGCCAGAAATGCCTACATACCGGGTTGGTTTTTAAACCAGCAAGGTTTATTAATTTCTTATTTGTTAACCTGAGGACTTTTGGAGTCAATTTATGTGCTGTTACTTTAAGACCATTTGTATGGTCTTTACTGTAACTTTGATTTTTAAATGCCTAGAGCCCAAGGATTGCTTTGTGTATTTGGTGAAAGTGAGAGGGGGAAAAAAAAAGAAGGGAAAGAAAAAAAAAAAAAAGTAGAACTTGGTAGAGGCTGTCTCTTTTCCTGCTGGATGTTTTTCAGGTGAACTACCCAGCTATGCTACTGTATTAAAGTCAGGCCAACTATGTGGAACTAAGGATTATTCCACAAATCCTGTTTTAATAGTTCTTTTAATGGTGTTTGTCCTCAAGTCTTACTTTTTCCCTAGGATTTCCCACCCCGACTGGGACTCTCCCATCTTTCCCAAAGCATTGCATCTCCCTGGCTTTTGACCGGGCTGGGCACCGTGCTCTGCAGCCGGGAAGAGGAGCTGTGTCCCCCGTGGGCCCGGCGCGGGGCTGCAGCTGCCGATGGCTTTATCAGATGGACAGAGACATTCCAAGTATGCTTCTGGTCACTGGGGGATATGGGAATATAAAAAATAATGAAAAAGGAAGGCTTAGAGAAAAGCTGTTAGGCAAACCGGGGCTTTTTGTCAAGTTTTTTTTCTTATTTTAATTTTCTTTTTTTGAAAGGGTGAAATTCTTTACCCCTATGCAGATCGTTAAAGCTGTGTGATGTCATTTTCTTTTCTTTTTAAAGCCGTGTTTTGAGAAGCTGAAAGGCTGCAGGTTAGGTAAAACTATTAATGACCATTTTGTGACCTCTGCTCCAACCGCCCACAGCGGCTGCAAATTTTTAAATGTATGACGGCTGCTTGGCTCTCCGCAGCATTGTTATATTGGTCGACAGCAGATGAGATTTCAGAGGTAAAAAAGTCACCTCCCAAATCGCACCCTGCTGGCATGGCCAGTGGGCAGATTAAAAAATGGGATTTTGGTGGTTTAGTAGGGCGGGAGACCTCTGTTTTTACGACCAAGGCACGTCAGGAGCTCCCTCTGGTTGACTCTGGCTGCATCCCTCCTGTGGGTTGCATGGAGGGTGAATGTGCCCAGAGCTCGTCTTGTCTAAACCAACGTCCACGTGGTGCCAGGCTTACACCATGGCGCTTGCGAGGAGAAGGCTCTGGGGGCATATTGGGTAGGCTTGCCCCCTTCTTCTGCTTTTCCACAGGCGTCTGCTCCTGGCGGGTGCGAGACAGGCGGCAGGCAGCTTTGGTTGGAGCAGGCATGGCCGGTCCCACGTAATGTGGGTCTCATGGAGGGGTGTGAACTTGGGGCTGTGCAGGGCATGGAGCAAGGCCACGACCTGCCTCGGGGTGGAAGCGTGCGTGGTGGGGACAAAACGTGACGTAGGGCGAGCGTGGAGAGAGCGCTTTGCAAGATGTTATTGCCTCGGAAAGAGGGACAGTTACCTCACATTGCTGTAATTGCTGTAAAATATTCTGGGATTTCTGTCTCTTGTTAAGTTTTCTTCAGTTTTCATGGTCGCAGCTCTTGAGCGCTTCCCAGATGTGTTTGGGTTGTGCAGTGAGAGCCCTAAGGGGCTTCACGGCCCCTCTGCCTTGGCTGGAGAAGGCTGTGGAAGGGGTGAGACTTTCCTTTTCCCTCTTCCATCCCTCTTTCCTTGTCCTTCACTCTCCTTCCCAGCCCTTTAATTTGTCCCTACGACAAAAGCGTGCTGGGGAGCAGGGTTACGCGCACCCTGCGGGCAGTCAAGCTCCTCGTTATCCGTGGGGGACGGAGGCCATGTCTGCCTTCGCAGGTGATTTGGCAGAGGGGGAGGAGATCAGGGCAGCCGGTGCTGGGGCTCCTCACGTCTCCATTAAAGAGGGTTTGCTTTGCCTTGGGTCTCTGCCGGTCCCCAGGACCAAATGTGACACCACGCAGGTGTTGGTCAGAGCTTTCTGAAAGAAGAGTTTCTGACAGACCCGTGCTGCTGGGACCACAGGCCCCCCTCCGGGGCTCCTCCGGCGGGTGCCATGCCGCCCATTGGGCCTTCTCTCGCGAGGGCGACGTGCGCCTGCCGGGGGCTCTGCCGCCATCGCCCCTGTGAGGCCTCATCATGTGTAAATGAGCAGGAACCGAAACAACTCGCAGCTGCGGCACAAGCCCTCAGCGTGCTCCCCCTCACCCCGGGCCTGAGGGAGCCTCTCCTGAGCCTTCAGGGAGCCCGGCAGGATGGCCAGGGCAGAAGGACAGGGGGAAAGGAGTGATAAATAAGAAGGCAAAAGAAATAGCGGGTTTAGCAAGGGTGCTCTGGTGTTTCTGCGTAGCTCAATGTCTTCCAAGGCTCTGGCTCTTCCAGTTGGCACAGGGGGTTGTCCTGGTGCCATGGTGGTGTCCCACCCCAGCGGTGGTTGGGAGCCTCCCGTCCTGGTGACGCGTTGGAGCTGCTTCTTCCAGATCGGTGTGCCGAGCCGGCACACCGTAAACGGAGGCAGCGAGGCGGGGGGGTTCACTTCCAAACCGTGCTGCTCCTTAGACAAATATACATGACCAGGAATAATAATCTTTAAAATATTTCATGTTTCTTCAAACACTTCACGTATTTGCTCTCAGTCTTCAAAGCTGTGGCATCTTCTTGCCTCGACTCTCCCGGAGAGCGTTTGCTCTGTAGTCACATTGAACATTGAGAACTTGTGGCATCTCTGGACCATGGTTTTACTCTTTTTATCCCTGCCGTCACTTTCTGCCCTCCTTAGGTGCAGGGCTTCCTCCTTTCTCATGTCTTCTCTCTTCTCTGGCCGATACTAAGTCTGGTGTCCTTCATGCTCTCCATTAAAGGGGGTTCCACAAAGCCCATGCTCTTTGGTGGTCTTCTGGCTGGCTGCTGCTCAAGGCAGTCGTTTGAAATTGGAGCCCTGTGTAAAAATACTAAATGCTAAATACTAAGTGTCGCAACAGTGTTTCATGGTGTCCACTGGAGTCACAAGTCACGTCAGCGATGCTGCCATTACTGTGTGCTGGTGTAGGCTTCGGAACAGCATGACAAGCTCTGAAGCGTGGCTGATTTTTTCTGTGTATTGGTGTCTGGAGTGCTGGATTAAACCTTTTCAATAATTTATAAAACCTTAAGCACTCTGGGCAGTATTTTTACAGGGAGTGATTGCATTGTGTTCAGGAGATACCTTGCTCAGCTGGGCTATTAAATGAAAAACTGAAACCTGCCTGTGATGCTGAGATGAGTGCTCAGCAAAATGAAAGCGTAGAGCTTCACTTGCAAACATTTTCACGTTGCCTGCTTTCCTACTTGCTGCTGGTTGATCACAGTCTTACTGATAAACATTAAAACCTCCCCGGTGAAAAAAGCAGAGGGGGAAATGCCCACAAATTCTTTAAAAATTCCCACTTTGCACAACCTTGGTTTTGAAATTTAGCTCAAACACGCAAGTGAATTGCTTTGGTTTGCCTTAAATTCCTGCGGAAGGGCGGATAATTTTTCGAGATGATGCGAGATAAGCCAGGCAACTGCTACACCATTTAAAAAATCCTGAAAACGTTTCCAGACCCAGTTGGTGCTCCTGGGGCAGCTGCGCGCTTCCAGGGAGCTGCATGCCGACGGCCGTGCCAGCAGGAAATGCGGCGTGACCCGTGGCGAGCCTGGAGGGTGGGAAACGCAGCGAGCAGATGATTTCCACGGGTGGCTCTAAGTGTCCCACGCAGTTACTGTGTGGGCATGGACGCAGGAGCAAACAAAACCCAAGGGAGCAAACAGGAGCAGCAGGAGTATCCTCTTCCCTCCACGTGTATAGCTGCTCAGCGCTTCCTATCGTGTGTCCCTGCCGCCAGGCTGACAGCATTGCCTTCTTCCCTGAACGCTGGGTCTACATGCATGAAACCTGGCTGTGAAGTAGAAACGGTTTTTGGAAAGCATAATATTATTTTAATCATAAATTATTTGGAAACTCAATACAGAAATAGCTTCAGATCATTTGTTCCAGAGGGGTGTTTTTGCAGTCAGGGTCTTTATCAACTTCTCAGTGGGAACTGCATTAATATTGCCACAAAAATGCAAACAGTAGTGCCTTTGATAAAGCAATTTGGCATCTCTTAAGCAGAAAGATGTTTTGTTTTCCTAAGATACAACACTGTTTTCAGTGCAATGACCTGCCGTATGTGCCAGCATATGGAAAGAAAATACCAGTTTTGTTAACATGTGTTTAGAAGCCATGGGGAGGGGATGTAGGAGGTGGCTGCCTTTGCAGTTGCAAAGCGATCTCTGTTATTGCAAGGGGGACAGCACAGGAAGCCCAAAAGTGAGCGCCGGTGGTGGAGATGCCGGTGCCTGCAGTCAGCCTCCCAGGCCTAGCTGCCTCCAGAGTGTTCTGCCAAGGGCTCTCCGCCTCCTCACCTTCACTTTAGCTCTTCCCATCACGTGCTGGAGCCAGGCTGGTCCCCACTGCCGCCTGCCTCCCAGTGTAGAGTGGAAAAGCTTTACTGGCCATACAGTAGGCATCTTTGTGGATACTGTGAAAATGCCTTTTAGTACTTGCTGGTGTCCCGTGGGTATTACATACTTGGTTAGTGCATTATTTTGATTTTTAGACTACCTTTAGTTCAAGAATCCTGAAAGGAAGCTGTTGTGCAACTGTTTTAATCTGATTTTACAAGCCGATTCCAGCTTGATTCCTAGCACAAAGAAACAAAGAAGAGCTCAGTTGTATTTTTTGTCCAAAAGTAAAAGGCCCTCCTCCTTTGAAGATCTTCTGTAGAGTGTTATGTTTAGAGAGAGTGATTTGCTATTGTTTAAATTTAATCTCCATAATTACATTGGGATTGGATTAATGATGGGTTATTTTTCTGAGTCATTCTTTTCTGGCACTGACAGCTATCGAGCATAAAGCCAGGTCTTCATCGGATGTCAACTGGCATCGCTCCACTGAAGTTAGTGGAATAAATCCACTTTATATTGTGGCGGCCCAGATGTGATATTATAGCTGTTTCGAAGAAAGCACCCTTTTGGAGTTTGTTGGCCTTGAATCTTCTTCTTATTTTTAAGCTGTCTAGGCATTAACTTCCAATTGCATTACATTTATAGTAGCACAGCTAGCTGTTGTCTCTAGACAACCTCAGCTGGACTCAGAGGGATCAACAAAAGGTGCAATGCCAGATTCAACCGTAAGTATCTTGGAAGTTTTTTTCTGTTTAAAAAGTGCTTTTTGTCACCAAGAGTGCAAGCGGGAAAAGTTCATTACTTATGTCCGGTGAGCTTTTACATGCTCTTATCTATCAGAACAAGTCTTGGTCTGTTCATTAGGGATGCTGTACTGCAAATCCGGGGGAGATGTCTGGGAGGCAGAGGGACTGCTCCTTTTTTTGAAATTAGTTATTTTTGCTCATTCTGCTTTTCAGAAGGGGGCAAGGAGGGAGCGAGGGACCTGGGGAGACCTGCCACGTAGGAGAGTGGCAGCAGGGGCAGTACGGAACGCGCTCAATGTACGGGATGGATCCGTCACCACGACTGGAGTGGCAGAAAGAAGCAGTCTATTCTTAGAGACCCTGAGGGGCTGAGTAGAGTTGCTGCGATTGTGGAAGGTATTTGAAGTCGCTGGGCTGAGAGCAAGGTGGGAAGAAAGGATGTCCCCCACCCTTGTGCATGTTGGGCAGGGGAGGATTAGCTTTCAGACCTTTTATTTTAATGTCTCACCTGAGTTTCTTCTATTTTAAAGAATTTTCTTGCTCACTATTTGTGAAATGGCGTACTAATAAATTTTAGTTTGGAGAATGGGAAGGTTTTGCTTTCTTTTGGGTCCTTACTGTGGAGACAAAGTGGTCCGTCCTATCTCTAAGCAGTAGTGGATTTAGGGTGTCACTGCAGTGGGTTAGACTGCGCGTCTGTTTAGCCTGGTATCCAACTAACAGTGGCACATACTATATGTAAGTGTGAGAACCAGACAGCAGCGATCCTTTCCCTGGTGCATCCTCACTACTTCCAGGAGACGACTGTGTTTGCTGCTGGCCTGCTCTTGCGCCTGCGGGTCCACTCGGTACAACTTAACTTCCGTTTCCTTGTTAACCAGCAGAAGGTAGGAGTGAAGCCTTTTAGTCTTCTGTTCTTCCTGTTTTAAGACATTAAACTGGTACTTTGTACTACTTGGGTTATACTCTTTGCTCTTTTTTACACAGTATTTAGGAAATACTGCTTATTTGAGTAATAAAGGTCAGCTTTAATCTTTAATAGTAACACTGCTTCTACAGTTGTGATCGTCTGCCAGTGAGGCGGGACTGTTTGAGAGACTTGGTGTCTTTTTTTAGATTGACCTGATAGATTTGGAAAATTCAGACAAGACTTCAGGCGTATCCTGGGCATCTTTTCAGAGTAAAAAGGATGTGCTGCTGTAGATTCCTGTGTCTGATGGTCTAGATAAGCACTTTTTGTGAAATAGCAGGCAAATTGTAAGACCTAGACGAAGACTGAGTGTTGCACTGAAGTTGGACATCCCTCAGCTTGTACGCACGAAAGGCTTGCATGCCTGAAAGCTTGTCTCCTGTCCTCCCCCACCATGTATCAGTTTGTCTTATAAAAGTACTACTAACTTCTATATTAATTCTTCCCTATACTTGGATTCTTACTAGCTTTTGCTTCTTTTCACAGCAACTGTGACCGAGGTTGGGGTTTTTTTTTAAGCTTACATAAATTTTGTCCTGTGCAAACTATTGACAGTTATTATTGAAGAAATTCCGGTGGTGCAGCTGTAAGGTTGCAGCAGTACATCAGTCATATATGTACATGGTCCTTTTATTAGAGGGGACTGTTGGAGCTGTGGTAATGCTTAAAGTATTTGAGGCCTAATCCACTGCTTCATTGCTCCAGATGTGATAAATGCTGTTGACTTAATGCAGAAATTGGTGACGTAAAATGGAGAAATTGCCTCTGCGCTTATTATGTAGCTATGGTGGTGAATCTCCTGTTAACAACTCCAGTTTTCAGGGGCTTTCTCATTTTATTACGGAGGGGGTCATGTATGAAGGCTGAGAAGAAATGAGTAGGAATGGCTTGTATTTGTACTCAGACTGAATTCATGAACACTTGTGCAAAACCCACTTTGCATAAGCAGGCTATAAATACTCGTTGCTTTTGCTGGATTGTGGTTGCAGTGGTCCTGCAAAACCAAGTCATCACTGAAGATCTTGGGGTGCAAAAGATTATTGAGAAATTTCAGCCTTGCTGGAGACAGGATAGATGCAATCCCAATCCGAAATAATCATCTCTCATTCATTTGCGACCCCACTCCTTCTCTGCCCCCTCCAAGAAGCCAGGTTGTTGCGGAAATTATAATTATTTATATAGACAATTTATTAAAAAAAAAGTTACTTTTGGCACTCTAGGTTATGAGTATACGTTAGTATTTTTGGCTTTAGCTCCTAGAGTATGATTTAGAGACTTTCTTAAGCCACCATTGAGATTCTCACCCTGAGCACCTGACCTAACACTTTTCTCAACAGCTGAGAACTGGAGAAAAACACCGAGTATCCTTGGTGCTACTGTTCCCAGTGAAAATTGTGTTTACTCGGGATGTTATTTCTGCATACCAGTTACTTTAGATCCAAAAAGAAATGCTGAAAATTCCTACGCATGAGGAGAGTTTATTTCCATGACTGTCATTAGGGTTATATTTCCTTTGGTCCAAGGTGTATGCGAGACACTGAAATGGAAGTAGGATGGTATAGTTACCAAAATAGATGCATTGTGTTAATTTCTTAATTAATTTTTTTTGGTGCAGTGCTTTTAAAGTAACAAGTATTGTAAGCAGTATGCTATTTTTAAACCAAGGACATTTTGTGCTGAAATTGGCTATTGCAACACTGGGTTAGAATTAGAATACACAAAATTCAAAACCACAGTAACCCTAATTTTGCCATTCTTGCCTTTTTAACTGCTCACAATAGTGTTGTGTTTGTATAGCATTTAAAAATATTTGTTAAGGGGAATGTAAAGAGCTACTGGCAAGCTTCTCTGTTAACTGTTTGTGCATGCTGAGCCGCTCTGCTCAGAAATGAGCTGTAATGAAAACAGGAGCGAGTACTCCTGGTGTCCACAGCTCACACTCTCCTTTGCGTTGCAAGCAAAGGAGCAGCCGAAGCCCCAGCCAGGATGGAGGCAGAAACCTGCATGGTGGAGTGGGCAGTCCCTTTGGCTCAGAGGACATGCACCCATGATGGGCTAAAACCTCTGTTTGCCATCTCCTTTCCCAACTCGCCCTGGTACATGCGAGTCTGGATCTGTAGTCTCCAAGGAGCTACTCTGGCAAATGAGTAATAATGTTCAGGGTAATATAGTCTGACCAGGAGGATGAATTTTATACGGCTATAGTTCTTGTCATGACCCTACAATCCCTGGTTTTGCCTGGCTTGGTCCTGACGTTCCGGCCAGCCCTGGGGAGAGGCTGTGGGAGGCCAGCACCGCTCAGGGCTGGTTGCTTTCAACTTGTGCTGGCTGTGAGCTGCCTGATTTTCCCTGCAAGGGCTTTACAAAGTTGCGACATGCACGCATCCATCTTCAGACAGAAATTAGCTTTGGATTTCACATGTCACCGATCAGACTGACCTGAACGAATTCACATGGAAAAAAAAAAAAAAATTGGAAAGCAGCTTGAGAAATGATTTCTTCTTTTTGCTGTTGCCTTGCATTTTGGCATGTGCTGTCTCCGTTTTGAATACGAGGTCATCTGATGGCGTTGTAACGCGATAGCAATACAGACTGGGTAATCCTGGGAACCGGCAGCTTGGATCTTGCCTGTCCAAATTTTACTGTTCTAAAATTCGACTTCTTTGTTAAAAATGAACGGTTTCCAGGGGGTAAAAAGCCCCCAGAGAAGAACTGTTGGCATTTTATATTTTTAAGCTGTCTTCCTGAATGAAAACAGTTGATTATTAACTTGATGGGGTGACAATGAGTATATAGAACTTAAATATCTCACCACTCCCACAAAGGAAAAAAAAACCCACCCTCCATTGTATCATGGGAAGATACATAGCCAGAAAAACTTTCCAACTCGTTAAACTTTTATACTTGCTTCGTACAAGCTTAACATAGGCTTTTTTCCATCCTGTGATGTTGTAGGGACGCAACTTAACAGTATTTCTTTATGAACATGCCTTTCTTATAACAGAAAAGGCTAAATTACTTAATCTGAAGGATTAAAAAAAGGTTTCCTTGTTTCAGGTTGTTTATTCTGCCAATTATGATAAGAAAATCAGTCTGAATGTTTCCCCTGTAATCAGTTTAGTCAGCTTCTGTGATTGTGCGGGGTATTCGGACAAGGACGGGGATAAAGGAAGACAGTTTTAAAAAACAGGAAAATACTATTGTAAACATATCGGGCAAGTTATAAACTGGGAAAGGGTACTCGGAGTCAAGTGTCGTACCTGCAGCTCCTTTTGATGCCCTGTGGTAGATGTTTTGGTGGGTTTTTCTTCCTCTTGTGGCTTTTGTTTGACTTTTTAGAAGACCTTTTTTTTAGGTTTTGTGTTTGACTTTTTAGAAGAAGGTGACTTAAAGGACTAGAGTCTGGCTATATTGGTTTTAAATTGCGTATTTTGTCATGGAGGCAAGTGGAGGTAAGGCTGCCGTAGCTGACTTGAGGTCGGAAAGGAACAACAAAAAGTGATGTTTGGGCTTGTTTTGAGCCCTGTGCCAGGTGGGATGGTTCTGTGCTCTCCCTCGCCGCTCGGAAACACCACGTGGCATCTTGATGCGGCACCATAGCTGGCAGGAAGCGTCGATTATTCCCTTTGCTGTTTCTCTCCAGTGTAATTTCAATTTTCCCACACCCTGATGGGGTTCTGCTGCTCATCCTGGTTATGTTCTTCCCCTTGCTCTTCCTGATCCTCCTTTATCGTCCTCGGCCATGAGCCTGGGGGAAAGCCGCCTCACTGCATCTCGCCCACAGGTCAGCTCGTCCCCACGACGGTGCGGGAGGGGATGTGGGTTTTGGCTGGTCGTTGCACCTGCAACCAAGGACTTTGCAAGTTCTAAATCAAGAGTCATTGCTTCATGTGCGTGTCTCTCCAAACCTGTGAATTTAGACATTCCTTACCATTAATTACATCCTCTCGTCTTGTAGCAGCAAGTAAAAAGGCCAAGTTGGGCACGTCGTTCTGCTGCAAGCAGCCAAACACAGTCTTTTCTTGGTTGGATGCTTGTGAGCGTCTGAAAGTATGTGGCCACTGTGTTTTGGGAAGTGCGTCCTGCTGCGCTTGCGTTGGGGTGGGGAGTAACCAGGCAGCTTGGGCCCCTTCTCGGAGGGCGTACACACGAGTCAAGCCAACCAGTCCAGCATTGCCAGAGCCATTCCCAATTAAAAGCAGGGGTGTCTGCTTTAAAGGGAAGCCCAGTTTGCCGATAACTGATGGCCAGTGAGATAATTCCTAGGTGGCACTGGAAGCGAGCAGTACCATCGTTTGCCTTGGTGCAATCTCTGATGGAGATGCTGGGTGTTACCTCCTTTCTGGAAGCCATAGGGTCTGGTCACCGGCATTTGTCAGTCGTTTGGCATCTAAACTGCTCAGACAGATGCGAAGTGAGACTGCCAAAATTAGCAGCGGTGTCCGACTCTGACAGCGGTTTGCAAGTTTGCCTGGTTGTCCAGTGGCAGCTCTTAACGCAGCATCTCCAAGTGCGGTGTCCCATAAAATGCTCGGCAGCAGTCATGTGGAGGTGAAAAGATTTCCAGGCGAGCTTCAAAGAGAAGGATGTGACTAACTGTCTTGCAGGGAGCCAGGACGTGGACCCAGCCAAATGAGGCAGCTCACATGAAAGGGCTGCCAAAGGAAAGGGAGAGGACATAGATGAAACTGGGACTGGGGGATGAGAGGAACAGGCAATTGGGAAAGGTAGAGGGGAAAATCTCTGTGGGCTGTTTCCAGTGGCCAGGAGACGTATTTGCTCTCTGGGGAGGTAACCTGTGGGTAAAACAACAAACCTCAAGCATGTTGGTCATCGTTCCTGGCTCCGCCGGGAGCCTCCACTGCTTGTCCTTGGACAAGTCACTCTCCCGGTGACTCAGTATCCCAGCTGTAAAACAGGGATTGCTGCTTACCTCATGGGATGTTGTGAGGGTAGTCTCGTGGACGCCTTTGCAGTTTGATGTATTAAGGGGGGGGCAATCAAAAGTTAGCACAAAGACGAATGTGAAAAGGGATCTGTACTTCCCTCACCGCCTTCTCTGAATGTAATCAAGTCCCTCGTGATAATATAATGGTGACTTATTCATCATTGATGTATACTCCTTCCATTGCACTGGTGGAACATTTTTTTGGTTTTATTTTTTTTCCCCTCAGGGCTTTAAAGATGTAATTTTGTATGTTTATATAATATGTTAATGTTTTAAGCAATTTCTAATAGAAAATTAGAAGAAATAACAAACAATAAATCAAAGTCAGACTAAACCAAGGTGTAATCAAATAATACAGGAGTGGGACTACAAGTAGAGTTTGCAAAGGGGGTCTCAAACAGAGAAAATGCAAATCCTGAGGCCTGAAGAAGGAGGGGTACTGGTTTGCATCTGTCTTAAACTCTGTATCCGATAGTGTACCTGAGGAGGCCTAAGGCCAGAAACCAAAAAGGGTCACTCCTTCTCGGCTCTCTCATTCTCAAATAAGCTTCTGCAAAAGGAAAGGGAGCTCTGATTAACTTTAACCCTTGAAATAAATGTCATGTTAATCTTACTCTGCTCACAAGGCAGTCTGATGGCTAACGCACAAACCTGGGAACCAGAAAACAGCAGTTTTTAGGACAGTTAGGGAATTGGTTGACCTGGTGCTAACACTTACTTCTGTCTGTGCCTTTATGTGATAAAGCAAATGGAGCTAATTGTCTCCTCTGTTGGAAGAGGGGGGCGAGGCTTGAGGAAATGCTGTAAAGAACACGGAGATCCACGGGCGGAAAATGCTGAGGACAGTCACAGCTTCAGAGTTTCACCCGGGAGCAAAATGTACGGTCATATTTCACCTGTCAAAGCTGGCTTTTCTTTAAAAAATAGGAAATCTCAAAGGCATTGGCTAGAGAAGGTGAACATTCATCTTTTCTGAGTACTGTATTTGAAAGGCTTTAGCTGCATAAGCTTTCCTGGCACTTGCCAAGGCTATCTTTTGAGGAAATAATAGGATTCTTGTTTTTTTGAAGGAACAGGTGGCAGCATGTGGAAACCTTTTGTTGTTAAATTTTAGTCACGGTTCCTTTTTTCCTTTTCTTTCCTTTTCCCATCTGCAGTTGAGTATGACAAGGAGTTCACGCCTCACCAGCGGCACCACAAGGAGTTCAAGTTTAATTTGTCTCAGATTCCTGAGGGCGAGGCCGTCACAGCCGCTGAGTTTCGGATCTACAAGGACTGCGTTGTGGGGAGCTTTAAAAACCAAACTTTCCTTATCAGCATCTACCAAGTGCTGCAGGAACATCAGAACAGGTACGCAAGAGGGGGCTCACTCTGTGCCACCAGCTGCTGTCCTGGGGAAGGCTGAGCTTGTGTATTCATGTTGAGAGGACTGCTTAATAAATACTGGTTTTGTTCACATTAATGGGATTATTCCCCTTGTGGGAAGTGGGCATGGTAGAGTGCAAAATGGACCTCAGCCGGAGAAAGTCCACGGTATTGTAGCCTAGGGTGTTACTTAGCTGCAACCTTTGTGTTGTCTTTAAATAGAGCAAGAATCTGTTGTGAGGCAGTATATTTTTTATGCTGGCATTGCTCTTGTGTACCAAAATACACATATCCCCTTTCAGCTTAATACTACCAGCATAAAAAGCATAGCTTGTTTGAAAAATACTGGTAATTAGTGCAAACTTGACCTGCTCTCAGGTGGGCTTACATTAAAGTTAATAAAGCAGAAGAAAATTCAGCATGCTGACCACAGGTACAAAATCACTCCTGGGCTTTCAGTGGCAATGAGAGAGGCAAAAGAGAGAGAGGCTGAATAGAAACTGTGACACGTAAATCCAAACAAGGGTAAATGGAGTGATTAATTTAAAAAGGGTAATGTTTCTGATGGGAGAATTGTGCAAGGCAGAAAGATGGAAATACATGGTCAATTAAATGTCACAGTAATGCTGTGGTACAAAAGTGTTTCATTACTTCTGCTGAAATGTGTCAGGACTGTAACTGTTCCTCTGCTGCAGGCAGAAAAAACGAAATCGGAAAGAGATTCTTTCCTCTGTCAGGGCTTCCCGGGTGTTTTCCTTTCTGGTGCTTCTTTCTGCAGCCTTTCCATTGATACCATTTGGGGGGATCCCCCGTTGATGATTTGCTGTTGTGAGGGCAACATCAAATAGTAATGTTTTTTCTATGGGGAGTGTGGCCTCTAGGGAAATGGAGAGAAATACTTGGATATATAAGTGATGGGGAAGAAGGTGTTAGTTTTAAAAGGTCAGTGTCCCCTAAAAGGTCAGTGTTCCCTTTGCACTTCAAGTTGTGGGTTGCTGGAGTGCCTCCTGGGTAAAGTGCTTGCTGGTTCGGATGTTATGTCAATACCCACTTGAAGAGCTGATGGAAGTCCAGACAGTCATGCGGATTTCATAGATGTTAGCTGTGTTGTTCATTTGTAGCCACATTGAATAAAAAATAGTGAGTGTTGGTCTGTTTTAGATTTCACAAGTAGAGATCTCACCTCTGGAACTGGAGGAAAACCTCTGCCAAGTGTCTGTGGAAGCAATCGATACGCTGCTCTGGGTTGGTCAAGCGACAGGGCACAGAGTATGTCGGGTCTAAGGTTGCCTCTTCTAAGGAGAACTGTCAACTTTTATATGTATATAACCTTCTTTCAGAGTAAACTGAGCAAACAAGTAATGGGAAAGAGAATAAAAGTACAGGATACAGCCCCTAATGGGCGCTGTTCCTAACAAATTTGCAAACTCTTTGTTCCAAAAATGGCTGTTAGTTCTGTGTACAGCAATGATGCTGGCACCTCGTATCTGTGTTTCAAATACCATGCCAGAAACATGCCAAAATCAGATGGCGCTGTGAAGCTGCGACACGTGTCCTTTGGTACTGGGCACTTTGGCATCTGCACATGCTGGGCATCTCTGGATGCTAGAGACTTCTCTATGGATGGAGCAGTGGCAGCATCTCAGATGGGGGTCACCAGGGTGGTCTCTCTCCAGAGCTGGCGAGTGTTTCGGGTCTTTCAGTTCCCTTCCGTCGTGTTCCTCCTGCCGCTGTCGGTGGCCATGCCGAAGGGATCCCGCTGTTGGGACTGGGAATCGTAAAGTGGCTTCCTCTTGGTCCAGACTGCCAGCAATTCGCCGTCCCTCCTGACATGGACTAGGCGTGAACCGCTGACCCAGGGATGAGTGTCTGTAGTTCATTACTAACCTCTGACTCATCCAGTCCCTCAAGGCTCCCTTTTTGTTTCTTTTTCTTCTTTATTTATTTATTTTTACTGGTGGGAAGGAGGGAGACATTTGGCTAAAGAAACTTGTGCTTCGGATGAGTCTGCAGGACTTGTCACACCATCTGCGCAGAGATGACCAAAACGTGGCTCTCAGATTCTTGCAGTTGTAAAAAGGACGTGCCCTTTTCCACCCTTTTTCCTTTCAGCTTAAAGGATTCTTTCATGTACCTGTAAAATATAAAAGCACATATGAAAACATGAGTGCTTGTGTATAAATACGTGCTTATGTATGTATTCTCTGTATGTATCTGTACATAAAAGTGTATATATATTAATTGTCATCTATATTAATTGTCCTCTATATATTAAAAATATGCAGATGTTAAAAGACAGTTAAAATAAGATATTAGAAGCTGCTTACCACTCTTCAGTGTTACCTTCAGTTGAGGTTCTGACTCCATAGGCTGCTGCTGCTATAGATTCAAACATGCAGCTGCGTTGGTGACCTGGATGGACTTTGGCCTGTAAACATTCTTGAAAACAAATACCTAAAAGCTGTATTTAGCTCTTCACTGTTATCTCTGTGTGGAGGGGAAAAATGCCTCAGATTCTTCTGGTATGCCTTAAGGAGCTGTGTTCTATGACTGGTTTTGGTTTTGATCGTCAGTTCACTTACTTTCTTTTACTGGTGGGTGGGGAAATCCAAAATGCTTTTTTCTTCCCCTTCTGTCTCAGTGGATTAATTTGGAATATAATGTTTTCTTTTCCTGTTGAGAACACTAGAAGGTTAAATTACAAAAAAAAAAGCACTATTTTTTAAAGAAACTTGCTAAATATTTGTAAGGCTTCTGTTGCATTTTAGCAGACGTCTTATGAGCCAGAAAAAAACAGCTGCCTTTGACTTAAAAAAAAAATACTAAAAAAGGTTGTGTCACACTTCCTTTGGACTAGTGGTTTGAATAACAGCCTGATATTTCCTGACATTTGATGACATTTTATTGCATAAGAAAGTATCTGTACAGTTCTTGAAGTCTAGCTGGTGAACTAGCAGGTGAAACAGAAGGAGTTGAAGTAGCACCTTTTTTCATCTTGTTCTGCTGACAAATATTCCTTCTGGTCAGGAAAATTCGTCTCTAAAGGCCACAGAAAATGCCTGTTCAGTCAACATTGGCAGTCCTGAAGAAAGTTCAAAGTCACCATGTTAATCTTGGCTTTTTATGAGGTTAACAGTTGTCTGAGGCGATTATTGGTAGCTAATAAAATACTTTTGGGTGCAAATAATTCTTAACAGGGCAGCTGGCATGTATGGATTTAAACCAGCAGTCCGCAAGAGAAAGGCAGCATGCACCTCTGAGGGAAAAAATATAAAGAAAAAGAAACCTGCCTGCTCCTCTCAAAGAAATGAGTTTGAGAGGGCAGGAGATAAGAGAAAGATTCAGTAAACACAAATCTTCACCAAAGCTCACAGCCTGGAAGTATCCCTTGGCTCCGATTAAGTGTAATGAAGTGGCTTAATTCAGTATTACTTGAGCAAAGGAAAAAAAACCTCATCTGGACAGCAAGAGCATAAGCGTGTGACTCCAGCCCAGATGTGCATGCTGCTGCACGGAATCGCAAGGCACTGCTGGCCGTTCCCTGATGGCTAAAACCAAAACCAAGCCTGAGGCTACTGAATTATCAAACTGATTTTTGCCACTGTAGACAAGGCTAAAAGCAAGGATTATATGGGTCCATTCGAGGCTGTCTTCTAGACAGGGGTATGTGTGGAGAGAGTGTGAATGATCAGAAATCAATGCTGATTGAAATAGCGTAACCATCAGGGAGAAATTTGACCGTCTCCTCGTTCAAAGCCATCAGAAATATGAAAACGATACTCATGGAGGCTCCAGGCAGTGAAACGCACGTTGAGGACAGTGTGGTCTAAGTACATTCTCTTTTAAAAAAGAAAACATTTTAATACTGACTCACTTGTGTCAGTAATATTTTCATCTCCCCATTCTTTCCACCCTTTCGTAAGGTAAAAAAAATAGTGCCTAGAAACTAGGCTTTTGTTTTATAACCAAACCGCAGTTAATGGCCACGTTTTGTCATAACACAAACTGCTGGTGGTGTCAGTGGGACGCTGCAAAGAGATTAATGAAATCCTCAGGATAGGTCAAGCTTGTGGCCAGCCGTCAGCAGTGTGCATTTTGGATTGCGTGGAGAAGAGGCTTCACCAAACAAGGCTGAGGTGACGTCTGATTTGCTCTGAGGGGGATGACCCTGGGTTTTGAAATGGGCTGTGGGCTATAGGGGCTGACGTCGGGAGGGGGAACGAGCGATACGTCCACCGGATGCTGCTGCCCTTCAGCTTCTGACCCCCCAGAGTTTAAGAGATAGTGCTGTTTGAAGGCTAGGGAGGGATTTTTTTTCTTCTTTTTTTTTTCCTTTGGTATGTGCAGAAAGCGGGGAGATTTGCCAAAGCACCGGTTTAGGAAGACAAGCGGCGTCAGCTTCTGGGTGCCTGTCCCACCTTGGCTGTATCTGAGGGCGCGCTTAGTTTCAGCAGGCAGAGGCTGCACAGCCTCGACTCTCCTCCCTTGGGATGATGAACAGCTAAGCCCTGCACATGGGCTTGTTTCTAAGGTGTAGCGCTGATTCTGTGGAAGGACCAGCAAAGCCCTCTGTGACTTCTGATACCTCTTGGGAGTGGATTACCATGTAAGCGAGACCTTCGCAAGGGAAGGGAAGAAATGAAGTTTGTCCCTGGAAACAGCTCATTAATTTCTTTTTCTTTCTTGAAACTTCCTTGCTCTCACCCAGAGGGGTGTCAGGTCAGGACTAGGGAAGGCAGCTTATGGCTGATCAAAGATTTTAGTCCTTGGTTTGGATCATCAGTATGTTTTCAAGTGTAAATATCCTGCTAATGCAGACCTCGAAACACTCCCACACTGTCCAAACAACTGATCTATGAAAAACACAGTGGCCTGTGTTAGTGATCAAAGGAAGATATGGTACCTTAATGGTCAAAGTTTATTAAACAGTTTCGTTTTCACCCAGAATGAAATACGGGGATGTGCAGAAAGATTCCTCCTGTATG